TGACCTCACGCCGCTCCGAGCTCTACGGCACCACCGACTTTTTGGCCAATTGTGGCGGCCTGCTGGGCCTCTTCATGGGCGTATCCACATTGAGCATTGTGGAGCTTGTCTACTTCTGCACGGTGCGTTTGATATCCAATTTGCGTATGCGCCGCAAGACACGCAAGGAGCTCTCCCAGGCCGCCAGCAAGGAGGCCTAAGCACGGGCTGCTGCTTATCAATAAACCAGTGGCAATTCGTGAAGGATGCTCTTCAGTTTCAGTATCACTCCATCTCTCCCTCTCTCTCTCTCTCTTTCTGTCTCTCTTTCGTTCTCTATGTCTGCGTGTGTGCAAACAATGGAAATAAATTTGTACTCTTAGCACAGTCAGCACTTGGAGTGGGTAACCAACTTGGGATATACATACATACATACATATGTATGTGCGTATGCATGCATGCAAACCCGCATGCTGCCAAAGTCAAACGTTGTGTGTGTGTGTGTGTGCATTTCAAATGGAATCAATTATTTTATTGTGTGATTTGCAGCTGCAATTCAATTCGATTGCCAAAAGTCAACAGACGCCGCAGCGATTGAGACAAGGCCTCATCTTTAGCCTTCGCATATGTTATGCAGAGACAGGCCTTTGATTTGCCAGCCAGCTAGACGCTAGAGATCCAGACAGCCCACGTACAGACATATACATATCTATCTATCTATCTATCTAGATATGGGGGCGACGTCTCGTACCTTTAGCTATGCAAATAGCTCGCAGCTTCGTTTGAGTTGTGTGCGTGCGGCTCTAATGGAAATCCAATTGAATTAAGTTAATAATGTTGGCAAATATTTAAACAATAGCAGCAATTTATGCACACACACACACACACATGCACGCACACACACTCAAACTATCAGCTGCAATTGTCATTTAGTTTAATTCAATTTGCATGCACGATTCGCGGCCTTTATTAGCATATCATTGGCAACAGTTGTGCAACAGTTGTGTGTGCTGCCAGCTACGTGAGGCTCAGCTACTGAAATATGCATGCCACACACACACTTACATACACTCGCTTGCACGCTGAGTTCATTATGGCAACAAGTGTCGAAATGTGTCGAAATATTGCAAATAAAGTTGACACATTTGCATACCTAATAAAATTTTCCATGCACATGCGGAAAAGTTGTGAGAGTGCAACAATGGGGCGCAGCCTTTTGCATGCCACATGCAGCAGCAGGCATAAAAGTGTGGCATGTGTGCATGTGTGTGTGTGTGTGTGTGTGCGTGTGTGTGTGCATTTGGCACTTTCCACTTCAACGCGGCATTTCTGCACGCCAATTTTTATTCAGCGTACAAAAACAAAAGTTAAAATGAAATTTATGACATTTTTATATCGATGTCTGTCGTGGCTGTCTCCTGAGGTTTATCGATCACATATATATTATAATATATATACTCGCAAATAAAAGCATGAGTGGCACTGAAGTATTATGGCTGGCTTGGCTCGGTTAAGTGAAAGCGCGAAATTCTGTGTGCAGAGTGAATGTTTCTTTATTTTTCCTGCACTTTAAATATAATTCAGAGAGCTTAAGTTAAGCCGGGTACGAATCGACTGTTATCGATTCAGCAATAATTATCCATAGGCATTTTTTAATGAGCTGTATTTAAGTATGCGAAAAGTGGACTGTGGATATGGAGGATACCAAAATCGATAACAAGCGATTAATTTATATTGCAATAATAATTGATACAAAGTTTTTGAATTAAGTATGATAAATAAGATAAGGAATTGAATAGATATGGAATACCCATAAGCACTTACCTTGGATTATTCAATTGTTATCGATAACTAGCACAGCCTTAGCCCTGTAAGCAAAGGAGCAAAAATCGAAAAAACGTTATATACTAATTGTTAACAAGTTATCAATCACACCATTTTTACAACATCTATCCCTTTAATGAATCAAAATTTTTTAAATATGCTGACAATCAATAATAGCTGCTAATAGTCGATTAATTGAATGCCATCGATAGTCAAGATCTAGCTGAGTTTTATATGACTACTCGCCCCGAGTCCTCTACGAGAAACAATTTAATCATATCTTGAACATGCAGCTATAACTTTTATGAAAGCTCACATGAATATGAGTGTGTGCTTGCGTGTGTATGTGTTTTCATCCGTTTGTCGCATTGCCAGCTGAAATGTGCATAATGTGACATTGGCTATTAGCGACTGAAAGCAGCTCCTCAACTTTGGCCGATGTCAGTAATCAATTTGCATTTAAAATCGTCAGACGGCAGCAGGCAGACGGCAATAAACAGAGAGCGAGAGAGAGAGAGAGGGAGAGAGAGAGGTATAACTTTAGCACAACATGACATCTGACATTGGCAGTAACAGCAGCAGCAGCAGCAACAACAACAACAACAATAACAACGTCAACAACTTGACAGGCCAAAACTCCATAACAATATCAATAAAAAAGTTGTTTGCGCTTTTGTAGCAATTGCAAAAGAAATTGCAGCGAATTTGTAATTAAACTTTAGCACAATGCAACGTGCAGTTGTCCGCAGTGTCTGACTACAACAACAACAGCCAACAAAATACCTAGCAACAGTCAGTCAAACAACAGCAGCAACAACAACTGAAACTGCAACAACATTGGGCAAAAGTTCGCTTCATTTGCTTGGCATAGCTTTAAATTTCCGGTTTCCGGTTTTAGGCGTTACCCCACACTGGCCAGGCGCTGTCGCGGCTGGTCGCCAATGGCGGCCATGTTTGTTTGTATTTAAGTCGGTTTCTGAGCAACATTTTGCGGCATGCAACAGCACGCGGCTGTCATGTCAGCGCGACTCTGGCTGCTAGTTAGATGGCTGTGGCTGACTGCTTAAGCGGAAATGACTTGAATGCTTTGCCAGGCACACACACACACACACACACACACTCGCAGACGTGTGTCACACGTGGCGTATGCGGAATTTCGCACTCGATTGCCAGGCGCACCTTTGGCTGTAGAAAGTTTCGTGTAACGCGATTAGCGGTTTGCATTTTGTTAGCAACTCCCAAATGCCGTTTGCATATGCAATAGACAAACAGCTGCAACAAACAAGCAAACAAACAACAACAACAACTGCAACAACTGCAACAAACAGTAATCGCTGGCTTCGCTTTCAGCCAAGTTTGAAAAGTCATTAAAAACTTTAAATGCGAATTTCGCAAATTTTGATTAAACTGCGCAGCTTGAAGATGTTGCGACAGAACAATTAATAAAATATGCATAGACCAAATTGGTTTCTTCCTTGTGGCAAATCAATGTTTATCGTGACATCAATTGCCAATTGACACACACTCACACACTCACGCACACACACATATCAATATATGCCGACATTGTCACGTAAACATGAGGCAAGGCATTTGTATGCAAACCGCGCACTAAATTAGATTCTTTTTTACTGCATTGGCATCGCCTGCTCCTGATGATGACAAGCAGGCATCCAACGGTATGCGGACGCGAATGCGGATGCGAATGCGAATGCGGTTACGGATATGCTTCGTTTCGCTGTCCTTGCAGCAACAGCAGCGTGGACGATAAAATGCGTAAGCTCGTTAAAATTGCAGGCATCGCTCCTCTTATAATACGAATAATGATCGAATGATAGACCAAGCGAGGGCACTGCCAGTCGACTTCTCTTCCTCTCTGTCTCTCCCTCTCCTCACTGCGTGCTGCGTAATGCATAGCGAAATATTTGATTTCAGTCTTCGGTAGGTTAGCGTATCAATGAACCCCTCTTTGGCTCGGCACATAAAATGTTGATGCGCGTGTGAAAGGTCTGTTGAATGAGGTCTTAACGCAAAGTCTGTGGCCTCTTAAACTTATATTCCATTGCGTGAGACATGTAAATTTTGATGTTCACACCAGTTTCGCTAATGGGAAAACTACATACATATGCATATGTTTGTGTTTATTTGTCTAACGTGCTGTTCCACATGTTGTTGAGAATAACATTAACTGCGTACTTGTAGTCAAGGGATCTTGTATTAAAGTAGAGCCAAATCTTGAATAGTTTCAATAGGATATATTTACCATAGTATAAATAAAATAATAAAATATATTAAAAAATATATTCAATAAAAAAATTTTATGTATATTTAATTAAATTTTCTTTTTTATAATAAGAGTTTGTCAGACTAAACTTTCAAGTGCGATATCATAGCTCATCCCACTTAAATTTGATTAAGATCTCTTAACAAACACAGGAGTTCTCATATATATGTATAGAAATATATATATATTTTTTTAAGTATTTGAGGAATAGATTCTTATCCCATATACATAGACAGTTCTATATATAAGACATTCAGTTAGTTGAAGTCATTTATGACTTATACTATATACCATATAATTTTCTTGATTTTCATTTTCTACTTTCTATATATACTTATACTTAAATACTTATAATTTCTCTTTTCTTTTATTTTTCACACAGCGGGTCCCATTCATAGATCTCATTACAAATCATATTTAAATATTTATAATTTCTCTATATAGAAACGTTGAAACCGAATGAAATCCCGCCTTTGTTGAGAATATAATCTAAAGCCAACAACAGCAGAAACTGTTTGCTGCCGCAAGTGCGACTCATTCCACATTGTTTATCCGCATCTTTACGAGAGCTGCGTTCTGTTGGCCCAGTGAACATAAATTAAATACACTCACATACAGACTCGGACTCGGATACTCGTACTTATTATGCATTACCTAATGAAAAGTGGGTGGATGCCGGGTGGCAGCAGCAGCAGGAACTCTCAGGAGGCGTGGCGAGGCGAGGCGAGGCGAGGCGAGGCGTAAGCAAATAATAAATAAATAAATAAACGAAAAGCGCAAATAACATTTGAGCGCCAGATTTAATTTCTAACGTTGAGTGCGCATATTAAAACAGGCAGCCAGGACGTGAAAGCCAACAACAATGTGAGCTGTTGGCTGAGAGGGGCGGGGCGGGGCGGGGCAGCAAACAAAGATGATGCGGATATCACTGCGTCTGCTGCCCGGAGGAAGTGCAGCGGAAATGCGGGTCGAAGACCAAAAAGAAACAATAAAACCAACGGAGTGAGAGAGAGAGAGGGAGGCAGTGTGAAAGAGATAGCAGAAGTGAGAAAGCCGGCAAATGTTGGCAAATTAAACACGCCAAGTGTTGGGCGTGGCGGAAGGCGTAATAGAAGTTAGCGCGGGTAAACAATGAATTACGGAATCATGAAAGCAAATTGACTTTAATGCAAAAATCAAATATTTACACAGCGCGAGAAAAACTGAACGGCAATGCAATTGCAATGCAAGAGCGAAAAGAAACCAGAGGGAGGGAGGGAGGTAGGCAGGAGCCAACAGATATACAGACGCAGATAAAAGACAAACAAAATACAAACAAAGGCAACACACACACAAACAAATTGAGGTTATGTTAGACGTTGCTCTGGCCCTAAAAACTCGTTTCGGCACTTAAATGCCAATGCAAACACACACAGAGAGGGAGAGAGAGAGAGAGAGAGAGGGAGAGGGAGAGCTTGTCTGAGCTTAGATGTAACTGGGCATTGGGTTGGGTTTTTGGGGGTCTGCGGCATATCCGGTTTTTGAGTGTACGTTATTAGCCCTTCGGCCGGCTGGCTGGCTGTCCGGCGTGTCTGCATTTTACGATTTCATTCATTTTTGTGGCTGCCATTCGACGCCGCAAAATATGCAACAAAATTTTATTTCCAGCTTCSCACACTAGAGCCGAAATAAAAATAAAAACTATTATCTAATGTTCTGCAAAGCGGCGAATGGCAAATAGCGAATGGCCAGCATTCATTTTCATCCAGCAGCTTTATGGAAATTTTTCAATTTCTCTAAGAATTTTCCAATTAGAAAACAAGCAACGGTCATTACTTCAGCTGCCATTTCCCAACCCAAAATACCCGGAACAAAAAAAGAAAGGGAGAGTCTATAAAAAATGGATGATATCTAGTGGATACATGAGCACAAATCTGAAAACCATAAAAGTGTCGCCCCAAAAACCCAAAGCGACAACCGACAATCGAGAATCGAGAATCGAGAAGCCAACAAGTGAAATTGAAACATTGCACGGATACAAATTGATGATGAAGTGTCCTCCGAGTCCTGCGGGATTTTTTGTTCGACTCTTTATGGCTCCACAGAGGGCATGGCGAATATGTGAATTGCCTTGCATTGGCAAATGCACTGAGATGCCCTTCTGGATGACCTACAATAGTTCTCTATATATACATATATATGGAAAGTTCATGGATAATTTATAGCGTATGGCAAATGCGAATGGTAGATAATTATTGAGTTTTATTAATAGACACATTTTATGAATATTGATTTCTAAGTTTATGATAAAAGTGTTGAATATTTATGAATATATATAGAAGTGGAGAATGGAAAATACAATATGTAGTAATTAACTAAGTCTACATGCATAATTTAGAAAAACCTTTTTAACACTCTTCTTAAATATCTTGAGTATAAGAAATATATAAGTATTTATTATAAAAT